TAGCTGAACAGCTGTAGGTATTTCCCCCAACCTGACAATGCCTACTGTACACTAAACCTTACCTTTGATATGTATATCTGTTTTGCTTTAGGGCAATTTGTGTGAATAAAAAGCCTGGGTCCAGAGATTAGAGAGAACTTGATTACTATAGCTAAGTTTCCTCTGGCTTCCCCATGTATTCCAAATTTATACTTCTAGTCTCTTTATTAATTTACTCGCAGCCCTTCTCCAGATTCCTGAACTCTTCTAGATGCTGAGAAACACCCTGGCAGCATAATTCTCATTTGATTCTTATAATAAAATTATGAGCAAGAATATTAGCATGTAAATCACCAAGGTGGAAATTTGACTAGAAATATATGGACTGAGATTTTATACTAAACTCTCTAATATCAGTGAAATGTAATTATACACACACACATACACACACACACACACACACACACACACACATACTACGGTCTCCCATTAAATTAACAAAATAAATGTTGACAAAGGGATAACAAAGCTAATAGTACCCACATTGCTTTCTAGGACTGGAATTGATGTTCGTCTTTGGGAAAACAACTTGTTCATCCCAGGCTATGGTAGGAAGTACCGTTTAGTTTATGCACTCCCTTGAGCCCAAGCTGGCAATGCATAGAATGTTATAGCTGGTGAAAGGGACCAATGTTTTGCCATCCTAAAGCTGTGCTATTGTTTTTAAGTTAGTTGTTAAGAAACAAAAGATGCAGAAAGAACATTTGACCCTCCCCCTTTCCTGCTCAAGAAGCTCAGATGACGAGACTTGCTCCAGAAAGGAAACCACTTTAGCCTAATTTAAAGTAATTTTGCTAGATAGGACGGCTCCCAGCAGGAGCCTAGTAGCAGATCGTCCTCGGTGTCCTATTGTTCTGGGTTGCCCAGCAAGAATTCCCAAGCCACGCGTGTTCTGCTCTTCCTCAACTACCTATAAATTGTCCATCTTCAATGTTGAAGTCTGAGAGCCTGTCCCCCCCTTTCTCCTTTTTCCAATATGTACCCAATTTTGTATCACTGTCTTTAGAATTTTCAGGCTTATGTGATTTCCCTGTAGGTACATATTAAATTTGATTTTCTCCTGTTAATCTGCTGTATGTTATTTGAATTATTAGCTCAGCTAGAAGAAGGTAGAAGGTGGGAGTGAAAATATTATTTTTAGCCCCCCGCCCACACATTGGCATGCATATGTTTCTTCAATGCACTCACTTTTTTCAGTCTTCCTTTCATATCTGTTCTCTGCCTGAACTCCCAATTTCTGTATAGACCTGTGGACTGAGGATCTCTTGAAATGTATTATCTTAGCTGACCACATCACAACTGCGAGACAAAATGTCTTATACATACACCCTCTTTATTAAAAAATGGGATCAATATAAAAAGTCCCCATATCTTATCTGGGACTCTATCGGAATAATCCAGTTGGGTTCACCCTCTGCTGCCTTCAGCAAACACACAAATGCCATGTGTGTGGTAGGGGAGGGGAGGAGGATGGGCTGTAGAAAAGAGAGGAGGGAGAGAAAAAAAATATCTATACTCAAAGGTCTTTCAAGTGTTGGATCCTTACAGTTAGTAATTTCTTTCTTTTATTCTAATCCTAATAACTCCAATCAAATGATGGGTGGGAGGAGCACAGGAGTGAAGTTTCTTCTAATTTGCTTTCATAGTAAAAAATGGGAAAGAACATGGATGTCTACTAGGAGGGGAAGGACGAAAGAACATTGTGACGTGGCCACTTTGTGGACCCTGATGCTATCTCTCAAATGAGAGTGTGGAGAGTATAGATCAGACACAATGCTGTTGCTCCTGTGTTTAGTGAAAGGAAAAAATAAAAATGGATACAAAACTGTGTTTTCTGCTGTAACCCTGTAAAATGCAAAGGGACTGGCAAAGATGCTCTTTCTTCTTGAGCAAACTAATTATTTAATTGATTTTAGAGAGGGAGGATGGAGAGAGCGATGGTGAGAGAAACATCAATGTGAAAAAGACACAAGGATTGGTTGCCTCCAATATGCGCCCCAACCAGGGATCAAACCCACAACCTAGGTATGTGCCCTGACCAGGAATTGAACCAGCTACCTTCAGTGCATGGGACAATGCTTCAACAAACTGAGCCACACTGGCCAGGGCTTGACCAAACTTTAGACAGGTTCCACCGAGCCCTCTTTTTGAGAAGGCCTCAACTTTGGCCTATAAAACTGTAGATTCTCAGTACATATGATTTCATCCACTCACCCACTCACAGCCACACTAAAAGATGACTAAACTCTAACATAGTTTATAACATTTCAAGGCTGACCCTGGGCCCACTTAAAAGGCCTGCCTGAGAACAAACCAACAAACAAAACCCTCAAGGCTTCCAAAATAATTCACTCTTTGTTCTAGCCAACACTTGAGTAAGGGCCCCTGACCTCCCTTTTCTAGGGCATTTGCTAAGCAGGGCTTACAACTGTAAACTTCCTTTGTCACTCTGAGGTGTATGTGAATCTCCTACAACTCAGGAGTGTCTCTCAAGGACCAGAAAACCATTTCTTTGAAATGTAATCAATAGAAGGATAGGGCTTCTGTCTCCCCATCTCTGAGGAATTATATAATCCTAAAGTGAATAATTGCCAGCTAGCAGATGCTATAAATGTTGGCTTAATCGCATTTACACTGATCAACTCCGTAATTTTTCACTTCCCAGAAGATGAAAAGGGGCTGTGTACTAAACATGACAGCTCAGGGGATCCCTGTGTGGTGGTGGGCTTACAAACTCAGAGACATAAAGTAACCACATAGGATGGTCCGAAATTAAAACTTTCTAACTAAAAGTTAGTAGTGGTGGGTAGTCGTATCCTAGGCTGGTATCTTCCCTGACAAAGGTCAATCCTTACCTTAGCTGAACCTGTCTACTGACCTTTTGCATGTGAACATACCTTTGGAATATCAGGGTAATTTCCTCTCCCCCACCACACACCTCACTGCACCACAGTGGAGATCACAAATCCCCTCATTGTTATTGTTAATTGTGTTAATTGTTGACTGTTAACTCTCCTATTCCCACAAATGTAAAAGAAGCATGGGTCTATTTATTTTACTTTTTTATCCAACCCCAGAGATATTCAGCTTTGCTTTCTCCCGCCTCCCTAAATCACCAATAGATTTCATGTAACCCCTTGGGCCTCCTTCTTTGATTGTAATGTACAAAGTAAGGTGCCAAACTGCCATTTCCTGGAGCGTTTTCTTAGTCCCTTGAAATTTGGCATCCCAGAAGATCTCAGTTTTGCTCAAATAAACTCATAAAAATCCTCTACAGGTTTAAACATTTCTTACATTGACACCCAGTTCTATTAAGCTCCTGCTGTTTCCCCCATCCCATTCTCTCATTCTGTCTTTAAAGCACCCAGTCAAGCTAGGCCAGTGTGGCTCAGTGGTTGAGCATCAACCTAGGAACCAGGAGGTCAAGGTTTGATTCCCAATCCAGGCATATGCACAGGTTTCAGGCTCTATTCCCAGTAGGGGGTGCAAAAGAGGCAGCCAATAGATGATTCTCTCTCATTATTGATGTTTCTATTTCTCTCTCCCTGTCCCTTTTTCTCTGAAATCAATAAAAATATATTTAAAACAAAAGAAAACAAAAAACACTCAGTCACCTCTGAACAAACTGAAGTTGAGTTCAGTTCACATTGGACCCTCTTTCATAATGCAATAGTAGATTACTGACTACAGTCTCTCTTTACTATTTGAGCTAGTGGCTGGCTTTGTTTGTCTTTGACAGGTCCAGATGCTAAGGAATTGAAGCCCTCCATCACTGCATTTGTTTTAGGGCAGTGGGGTGATACTCATTAGAAATCATTAGCAAAAGCATTCTCTCTGTTTCAGAAAAGAACAATCTCTGCACGTCGCCATGATTACAAGTTAAATAAAACTTTGCTGGGAAGCAATCCTGATTTATGAATCCACATTAAACATCTAAGTACATCTGTTATGCCCAGCAAAATGGTAACTGTTTGGGTAATGATATCTTAGAGTCACAACTGATGCATACATTCCCAGTGATTTATGCATTTGGAGGGGTGGAATGTGTCATGGTGATTGACTATTATAAACAAATACTGGATTTTTACTGTGCCCTCTGTCCCTTCATTTTGTGCCTGAGAATCAGGAAGTGCAACTTTGTACGGGGGCAGAATGGCTACCCTGAGAGATATATTTCAGTATGTCTTAGGCGGTATCCACTTGCCTTTGATTCAGCATTTTGAAGTATATCTCAGAAAAGATGAAAACTACTTTAGAAAGATGTACGATTCCAAGAGTTTGCTTTTAACTTCAAGTTGTTAGAAGTATTGACCGTGGGTCCACAACACCCACCTCCCACCTCTCTCACCTTGGCCTTCTCTCACACCCCTTCCTTCCCTTGGAGGTGCGTTCTTAGGATTCATGACTTGAGTGTTTCTCCCATCTCTGCCCTGTGACTATCTGATGAACCTTTCACATTCTTCAAAACTCAGCTCAAGCCTGACTTCCTTAAGAGCAGCCTCCACCTGACCCTTCTCCCCTTTCCTCTTTGGTCCCTTCTCCAATTTCTGTTGCAATAGAACCATCTCCGCCCACACATCTCTGATTCTGGTGTTTGTATTTCTTACAATACATGAGTTGCCATATGGTGGGGAACATTGTATTCCTGGTGCCCAGCAGAATTTCTGACACAATGTAAGGATTCAGTAAGTGATTATGGAACAAACAACTAAAGCTCTCTTTGCTTCCAGAGACGACTTTATATTACCTATTGTAATCCAGACTGAGATTTAACTTTTCTCTTTTATCCAGTACATGTATTCGTTCATGTGCACACATGGAACTGCAAGATGATTTAAGAAAAAAATCTCCAAAGTACTGTAAAAATACACATACAAGTCTGATTGCAGGCTCCCCACCCCTGCCTGGCCTGGGAGCACTGAGGAGGGCTGTGGGAAGAGATGCAGAGGCCTGCAACTTACATTCTGCAGCTGCACATGATTCTTCACCAGGTGCTCTGACTTTGCCATTGTGCTGGATGCTTTGAGGCTGTAGTTTTTACCACTCTGCGGCTCTTTCAGCTGCTCTTGAAGTTGTTTAGCTTGTTTTCTGCAGGTTTAAATAAATAAATGAATAAATCGTTACATACATGTATGCTAGGCATATTGTTTGTTTCATTCATTCCTATCATCTGTCATTTACTAAAGCTAGAGGAAACTCAGTTTAATTCTCTTTTGAAAGGGAATCCTTCCCTCATTTTCAACTCTACCAAGAACTCCTTCCAATTTGGAGAGAAGGTGGTGTTGCCCATAATCTCCCAGGGACTCACGCCCAGCAGTGTTCTGAAGGTGGAAAGAAACGTAATGGATGGTCCCTGCCCTCATGGATGCAAAGGGTCCCTCACCCTGAGTGGTCAGCTGCAAAGAATTGGAAATGTTCTGGAGAAGTGACCAGTGGAAAATAGGAGGCTTGGACCTAACAGCCACATACATGTAACATACTACAAAGTCACATTTGTATCTTTACAAGTCAAGCGTGTGTAGCTTGATTTCATAGCTGGCATATGTACCATAATGAGTGTATATTTTCTTTCTTATAGTTTAGAACTAGCTCATTATTGTTATCATCAACCCTGCCTATAAAGATTTTTCCCCTTTGCAAACATTTTTTGTAAATAACAAAAACAGTTAACTCTTAAATAGTACCCATTATGTGCCAAACATCATTTTATTTTTTTAAATCTATTTTTATTGATTTCAGAGAGGAAAGAAGATGGAGAGAGAGACAGAAACATCAATGATGCGAGAAAATCATTGAACAGCTGCCTCCTGCGTGCCCCCTACTGGGGATTGATTCTGCAACCCAGGCATGTGCCCTTTCAGTCCACAGGCTGTTGCTCTATCCACTGAGCAAAACCGGCTAGGGCCCAAAATCACTTTAAATGTTTTCCATCTATCAATTCACTTATTCTTCACAATACTGCTGTGAGATGAGGGATTAGTTCGTACCCATTTAGATAAGAAATCTGAGGCACAGGAAGTTAGATTATTTGCCCACACTCACATTGCCCAGAAGTGCTATAAAGCTGGATGCAGACCCAGGTAGTGTGGCCACATATTCTGTACTCTTATCTGCCACTCAGAACCGGCAAAGCACTTGCCCGTGGACCCGCAGCTTCTCAGAGGGAAGGCTGAGCCTACTCTCAGTGTTCGGACTCCAAATAAAGGACTCCTGCCTGCATACGTGGGCTGGCTATAGCAGCAAGATGCAACAGATCACTGCGTTATTAGCTGCTCTGTCCCAAGGGCTTTGCAGCACCTATCTATCAGCAGAAGACTCAGCACCAATAAAACAAGCAAACAAATAATAGCAAGCGAACAAAAACCTCTGCAGAGTCATCTGCCCTGAACTCTGCCTCTTGCCCACGGCCCTGCCTAGGACAGAGCTTTGGTGGAGCAGAGCGCTGGCCTTGCAGGGAGCTGCCAGCAGGCTGCTCTCTACAGAGCTGGGGCTCATGTCTCAGAGGGGCTGAGACTTGCATCTGCCACCCTCCAGTTTCGTTTGGATTTCCTAAATCAAGAGATTGATTTCCTAACCGTCCCTGAGCCTCAGTTTCTTCATCTGCAAATGGAGTCTGTAAAAGCTATCTTCCATGCATCCTGTGGAAACTAAACGTGAGAGCGCATGCGGAATGCTGAGCTCCGCCCCGGCTCACCAGTTAGCAAGTGTGCACGGGCAGATGCTGCAGAAGAATTAGAACACTGGCTCAGAGAGCAAAGAAAAGATCGTATGAACTGTATCTCTCAGAATTTGCCACGGGATTTGGAGGTTTTGAATTTGCACCAGTGCGATGCACTCTATTTAAATATTTCTTTCATCTTTTCAATTATTTGGGGGGCTTTTATCTCCAGTACTCTAAATTGCTTTAATCCAGTTGTAATTATGTATCTACTTCCTAACAGCTCATCTGTAGCCTATTGTTAAAAATAAATCAATCATATCAGCATTTTTAGAAGCACATCATAGTGAAGAAACCCTATCAGGAATTCACTGAAGAAGCAAATGGAAGATCAGAAAGTTCCACCTGAGTAACTCATCATGAAGCAGTGAGAGGGGCTTACGCTCCTAAGAATTAAAGATAAGAAACACTATCTTCCAGTGATTCCATAATTCGGTGTTTGGGAAATATAAATTTCTGAAGGAATTATTTATAAAATGTTTGAGAATAGTTCCTAAGTCCTTTTATCACTTACTTTCCTTTCCTTCCTTTTCACTCAAATCCCGACTCACCTGCCTCCTTCTCTGTCATCCCTGCCCTTTCCCAGGCACGTCTTTTGCTCTCATCCTTTCCCCAGTAACAGCCAACAGAGGAAATGATCACTGTGCCATCAACCCTCTCATGAGAACACCTGCTCCGGGAAGACCAGATGCAGGCATTGCACACTGGAACCCTACTAGCCAGCAATGTCGGTATCAACATTGCATAGTAAATTGAGTTTTTTAAGTTTCTCTGGCTCAATTCTTCAGAAGGAACTGAAATGTAAGTAGTGGCATATCTGATGTCACAAGTCTGTTGGAAAACATTTGCAATGTTGCAGGTGGGGTTCCTGGGTTGTAGACACTGAGATGGAGTGTGCAGGATTCTTGCTAGGGAGGGCTCTTCGGATTGGCACCAGCAGAAGCAAAGGGCAGGAAACAGGACTGGACTGAGGAGAGGTTGGGATGCCATGCAGATCTCAGCAAATCCCACAGCAAGTTCTGGAACTGGCCTGGCCTTGCACCGCATGTTGGGGCAAAAGTCTACGCCTTCAGAGCCTCACATTGAACCATCACCAACTGTGGTCTATCTCAGGCCAGAGTATGTGCTTGAGAAAAGTAACTCCTAGCATAACTGTGTTTTAGCAACTGGGGGACTAAGCCCTTCGCCACTGAAGAGCATCATAGCAGCACACCCGAGCAATCGATGCTGTCCTTACGAGGCTTTCTTTGTGGCCTACAATACCTTACTTCAGGGAGTGATAACTGACGGTCAGAGCAGTTGGCCACCATCTCTGCTGTGTACCAGTAGCACCCGCTTGTTTTCCTCCTGGGTTTTCCCAGTTGTGATCATTATTTGTCCAGCCTTTGCTCCTGAAACACCTCCTCCCCCATCCCCTTCCATTCTCAGAGTTGAATCATGTCCTGCATTTCCAAAGTCTGCTAAGGACCCCTACAGCCAGTCTCACCCTGCTTACCCATGTGAGTTGAAAGTAAAAAGAAAACCTATGAGAATGCATAGTTGCATGTGAGCCATATCAGCCAGATTGAAAGCTCAATTAATAGTTCTGTTAGCTACTTGGGGGAATGTATTGATTTATTGAGAGTGATGAGAATTTCTTCCATTGGGTCCTTCAGAGCCGTTGGGTTTTAATTCATTCAGTTTAGAAAACCTTCTAAATTCAAGACGGTGTTTGTCACTTCTACCTCCTCAGCTAACAGTTTGCTATAATATTCTATCTGCTGAGGTCATGCCATAACAAGGGTGACAAGAGAATGGAGAAAGGACCAGAGTGGTGGAATCCTGGGGATTATAGGGGTTAAAACATAAGTGACCAAGAGAATGTGAGCTTTTTTGTAACTCCTGACTTTCTCTCACCAGAAATGGTACATCCTGGTATACAGGATGGAGGTTCAAGTGAATTTATTTGGAAACCAATGATAGAGAGGTCCCACAATCCTAGAACTTGGGGCTTTCAAGATGAGGTAAAGCACGTACACACATGGAAACAACCTGCCTCTATGAAAGTGAGGAAAGGTCAAGGTGGAGTCTGATCAAGGGTTTGGGAGGGGACTTGGGATTCCAGCAGTCAGCGCAGAGAACACTGGGTCGGGGTGATATAAAAATGCATGTTCACCAATAGGAAATGATTTAGAAAGTGGATTCAGTTCAGAAAAACTGTATACTTTCTATATTAAAAATATGTAAATTCTGCCCTAGCTTGTTTGGCTCAGTGGATAGAGCGTCAGCCTGCAGATTGAAGTGTCTTATTTAGTGTGTGAATGAATGATGCTACTTCTACAAAACAAACCTAATACCTAGTTTTCTTTTAATAAAGACTAACATGTATTTGACTCACACACACACACACACGCACACACACACACACACACACACAGTGCACGTTGCCCTCAGCTGTGTAGATCAGATGCCTGGTGTGGGGTGTGAATTCCTCTCAGGCAAAGAACAGTAAAGGAAGACTATGCCTGGAAAGTGTACAGAAGAAGGAACTATACTCTTAATGAGAACTATAATTTCCACCTGGGGAAGGCTTCCATCTTTATTATCACTTTACTCTTCTCACATTTTCTTATTTATTTGTTTTTAATGAAAACATGTCCCAGCTGGGCAGGCAGAAGGCAAGCTCGGGAAGAGTGTTCCTCCATTGGCTCAAGAAGAAACTGACGCTGAACAGGTTTCCATTAAACCCTGGACAGCTCACTGCGCCGCAGGAGGAGGTGTCCCAGAGCCCACTGCTGCCCTGAAGACCGAAGGCCCAGGTTACCCAGCTGCTCGCCAGTCTTGTGAGCGTGATCATCAATCTTCCATGTAAATGTGGTACGACTAAAAATCATACTCTAATAAGAACAATGAAGTACTTCTTTATAATAACTTTCTATTGTTAAATACACCATTTCTTCCTCGCCCACAGCAGGAGCATGGAGAAGCTCCACCGCCCTGTCAGGTGATTGCTCGTCTCCTGCTCCAGGGCGCACTCTTCGCCTGGGGTTACCCGGCCCTTACATTCCCGAGTGGAAAAGGGGGCTGTGAACAATAGCAAGCCACACTGAGTACTTACTCTTTTATACTCCGTGGTGTCCTTCTGACAGTATTATCCCGTTAATCCTTAACACATTCTAGAAGGGAGCTATATTTTGGCCATCTTACCAAAAAGGAAATCAAAGGTAAGGGACTGGATGTAATTTGCTTAAGAATTCATAACAAGCAAGTGGCAGCCTGAAGATTTGGACACAAAATCACAGCCGCTGTGCCCTGTAGCCTCCCTGAAAAAATAAAATTAAAAAGTGCTCCGGGTTGCACCAGAGCAGGGCATGCCTCATTCACCCCCAGCAGCTTCACCAGCCAGTGAAAGGATATATGAGCCAGTGTGGTTGGTGTAAAGCATGTGATTGAAACTAGAACAGTGCAACTTCAAAGACCCCATCGGTTGGTAAGGGATAAATGTCTAATCACTCTGCTGTACACCTAAAACTAATGTAATATTGTATGCCAGCTGTAATTGAAAAATAATAAAAAATCATTTTTTTAAAAAATGATTCCATCTGCAATTTTCTACTGTGTGGTTTTGACAACTTAATATTTTAAAATTGAATCCTGATATTTTTAAAAATGCAGCAATAACACACAATTCCAGTTGTCGTAAGGATTGGGAGCTAATACATGAAAAGCTCAGTGTCTCTGACAAAGAATAAGTGCTTAAAATGAACAGGAACACCTGAAACCTGTATAACTTTATTAACCAATGTCACCCTAATAAATTCAATAAAAATTTTAAAAATAAAATGAGCAATAAAAACACACACAAAATGAGCACACAAAAAAACCACACACAAAAAAACACAAAACAAAAACCCACTAACATCACAGCTAAGAGTTGCCTAGATGTAATAATTAAATGTAATGTGGCATCTGGATGTAGCCCTGGAACAAAAAAGCACATAAGGTAAAAACTAAGAGATCTGGAAGTATGAACTTTAGTTAGTAATACTGCATCAATAGTAAATGCATCGTGCTCATATAAGGCAAAAATGGGAAACTGAGTCTGGGTATATGGAATCTCTGTACTCTCTCACAGTAATTCTGAAAACCTAAACCTATTCTAAACTAGTTTATTAAAACATAATAGTTACTAATTCTGGATTCAGACCTGAGTTTCCATTATTTTTCTGAAGATCAACATATATGCAGACAGGTATAATAGAGTATATATGGAAATTGGTCCATTTTTAGAAGAACAAATGGATAGAAAAATATATGTCAATGAAAAGCAATGAAGCTTTGGTTTGGATTTCAAGCTATAGGAACAGAATTGGTGCCAACTTATTCAGGCCTACATGCCTTACAAGAAACCAAAAAATAGTATGCCTATCTGTATTTCCTATTTTAAGTGCATATTATACTATTATCATAAATAAAATACCTTTACCAAAGTTTATTTAAAATAAAGATATATGTAGATATACATATATAATTACATAGCTGTATATGGATGTATATTTTAGCCTACGTTATTAGTCAAAAATAAGTACCTTCATGTGCAGAAGGTCTGGTTTTTTGGCAAAGGAAGTATAGGGCATATTCGAGATATGTATACCAGCTGGGGAACTAAAATAGATTTTATAATTTTTCATACTTCACATTTGGCTAAAACCTTTATGAGTATCATGTAAAAACACTATTGAAAGAAAACATGTAGATTTTTTAAAGAAAAACAATAGATACTGGTTGATAATGTTTAGGTCTACAGCAGTGTGACCTCTCTGGTCACAAGAGTGTGAACTCCTTAGTCACAGGCAAATGTTGAGACTTTAATTCTGGTGGGTAATCAAAATGTGCAAAGACTGTAGAGTTTTTATGAGCACGGAGAGGGATGATAGCAATGTGCATCAAAGATAAACCACACACACATACATGCAAGTGTGGCATATACACTCACCAAAGGCTACAAAATTCTAAGTCACTCTAAATGTTGGATGGGCCCATTTTTACAAGATCCCTCTGTCAGGAGCAAAGACTGAGAACTTAAAAAAGACAAAGTGCTTCCTCTGAGAAGCAACCTTTTAACACTTGAGAGAATGGTCTTACTTGCTTTTGAAGTAGAATGCTGCACAGAACATGCCCACGATGACAATTCCAAAGATGATGCATGAAATTGACAGCACCTGCCTTTGATAAACGTCTTCACTCTCTGTGAATTTGAAAAGAGAAATTAGAAAGGATGTTAGCAGGGCACAGCTGAGACAATCTTCGTCCTTGTGCTTTTAAGCTGGTATCTCCTTTCAAAGCAAACTTTTTTGATCCTGTCATGAATAGGGAAAACATGAGGAACTTATTAGCATGCAATTTGTTGGCAGTGGTCTACAGGATAGCTGATTGCTACATTTTGACTTGCATGGCTAAGTCAGAACTCATACTCACATATCACAATTATGTATCTTATCAAAAGACATCGCATGCCGTTAGGACACATGGGGGGGCATATCTTTTTGAAATGATGGTTGGGTTCAAAATAATCTGCTACAGAAACAAATGTGAGCCTTCTTTGTGCCAGTGATGACTTCCAATTTATTTTATGATGCCACTGCATTTATTATTTGGTCTTTGGCTGTCATTCACCCACGATTATGATTGGCATCACTAATGAAAAAGAACTTCAATATGGATGTGAATGTTTATTCACTCATTCTGTGACTTCCTCAATACCCATGATCTGGCATCTCTATTATCTCAATTGCTGTTATCAAGACCATATCATATAGCTTCTTATCGCATAAAAACAACAGAATTCATAAACAAGCATTTCACTCCTCAGCCATTATTATTTATATTCCCAGCTCATTTTCTGAAATACGTCTACTGAAACAGTTCTTCCATCTCATCAAGACCTTTTACCCATAGATCTTGGAACCTTCTGTCTGTTATTGTCCTCTTGTTGTCTTCATTTCTCTCCTTATACAGCATACAGACTTTGGTGCATGATTACAGTCATTTATTCTCTTGCAAATACCCTCTACTACTGCATCCTTTTCTCCTTCCCCTTTACTCATTTGGCAAAATAACTGTGTACAAATCCAAGCAACTGCCTTTTCCACCCCTCTACCTTGAATAGTTCAGAATTGGAGAGAAGATTGCACAACTGGGAAGTAGACACCAATAAAGGTTGACAATCACATTGCTGAAGCAGACATCCAATAGAGGCTAACAATCTCATCAGCTTCCTTCTCCATTTTTCTAAAGATTATCCATACATTCTCCACACTACTCAAACATCTGACTTACCCTCCTTCCTGACTCTAAGATCTTTCATATTTGTCACACGCAAAAAGAAGTCAGTATAAAAGAAATAATCTCGATGCGTAACAAAAAATATACAAAATTAATTGCGCCTCTATTCCTTTTGATTCGTTCTTATTAACATAATGCAGTAGTTCTCACACTTCAGTATGCATTGGAGTCACCTTGAGAGTTATTAAAGGGCAGACTGCCACCTACTTTCCCTCCCAGAGTAGGTCTGAAGTGGAAACAGAACATTTGCATTTAAAAAAAATCCCCAGGTGATTCTGATGTTGCTGGTCAGTGAAACATGTTTTGAGACCCACTGAATAGACTAGGAACCCTCAGAACACAGATCTACTATAAGAGAATAACTGGGGGATATTTGTTTTTCTTTGTAAATGTCAACTAAGGATCCACTTTGGACTTTCTGAATAAAAATGTCTATTCAAAAGAAAATTTTCAATGGTGGTGGAAAAAATTAAATTAAATTAAATTTAAAAAAAGAAAAGTGATTGAACGTCAACCTATGAAACAGGAGGTCACGGTGCAATTCCCTGTCAGGGCACATGCCTGGGTTGCAGGCTTGATCCTCAGTGGGGGGCATGCAGGAGGCAACCAATCAATGATTCTCTCTCATCATTGATGTTTCTATCTTTCCCTCATTTTCCTTTCCTCTCTGAAATCAATAAAAATGTATATTTTTAAAAAGCCCTCTCCTTGAGGATATGCTTAAAAATAATAGAAAGAAATAAAATCTTCAGGTGTTTCTCATGCACACTAAAGTAAGAAAATAATTCAATTAGAGAAAATGCTATCTTTTAAAAGATTAATTCCTTTAGATCCAATTGTCTTCTACCATCTCAGGGTCTTCACAATCACTGAGAGTAAGAGAAGGGAAAATATTCCTATTAATTTTATGATGCCAACATTACCTTTATATGAACATTAGACAAAGACATAAGAGAAAATAAATTACAGACATAGATTCCTCCTTGACATAGATGCAAAAATTCTCACCAAAAGTTTAGGAAATCAAATCCAGCAAGATGTTAAAAGTAACACATCATGACCAAGTGGGGTTTATATAAGGAATACAAGGTTAGTTTAATATTTTAAAAATTAATAAATGTGATTCACAATTTTAACAGCCAATAAAAATAATTTAATTATTAATTAGATGGAAAATTTACTTAAAATCTAACATTAATTCCTGATTAAAATTCTCAAAGAGTAGGGATAGAAGGGAACTTCATCATACTTATGAAGAATATATATATATATAATCTATACCTAATTGTAAAAGACTGAATGCTTTTCCCCTAAGGTTAGGAATAAAGCAAGAATATACCCTCTCACCACTTCTATTCAATATTGTACTGGAAGTTTAGTCAGTGGAATAAGCAAATATAGAAATTAAATCCATTCAGTTTTGGAAAGTAGAAGAAAAATCATGTTTGTTCTCAGATAACATGATCATCTATGCCAAAAGCTGATAGAATCCACAAAGAAAGAGCTAGTATAACTAGTAAGGAAGCTTAGCAATTTTGCATGATTTAAGTTGTATGATAAATGATACAAATATTAAATATGTATCTATTTAATAACAACAAATAATCAGAAATTAACATGTAATTATTATTTACACAATCATCAAAAATATAAAGCACATAGAGATACATGAGGTGTGTACACTGAAAACTACCCAAATATTATAGAGAGAATTTTAAAAAGACAAATAAATGAAGAGATGCATCATGTTTATGTATTGAAAGATAATATTATTAAGATGTCAATTTTCCTCAAGTTAATAGATAGATTGAGTACAATTCTACTGAAAATTTCAGGAGGAATTTAAAATGACATTATAACAGTAGTATAGCCATATCCATAAAAATGAACCTTGACTTGAGACCTTAATGTAAAATTTTATACTGTAAAGCTATTAGAAGAAAACATGGGAGAAAATCTTAGTAATCATGGGTTTGGCAAAGATTTCTTAACTACAATACAAAAGATACAAAGTATGAAAAATTTTAAATCAATAAAATGGACTTCATCAAAGTTAATAATGTTTGCTCTTCAAAATATAGACTCGTATCTATAATATATTCAAAAACATTGACTGTTCAACAAAAAATATATATTCAATAACATGAACTTATATATGGTATAATATAAGTGGATCTCTTACTACTCAATAAGAAGACAACAGCTGCATTTTGAAATGGAAAAAAGATTTGAATGAACACTTCCCCAAAGATATATAGATGGCAAATACATACATAAAATATTTATAGATTGTAAATGCAAACATCATTAATCATTATGAAATTGAAAATTAATCTGTTTGGAGCTATATGGCATCCCTACTAGAATGTTTAAAATTAAAGAATGGCTGTACCAAGAAAGTGGAACAATTTTAACTTCCATGTACTTCTGGTAGAAATGTAAAATGATATAACCACTTAAAAAATAATTTCATGAAAGTTAGACATATGCTTACCTTATGCATAGCTATTACATTCCTAGAGACTTACTCAAGACTTATGAAAGTGTTCATTATGCACATAAATTTTCATGGCAGTTTTATTTGTAATAGGAAAAAAGTGGAAACAATCCAAATGCCCACGAACAGGTGAATGGATAAACACATTGTGCTATATCCACACAATGGGATATTATCTTACCCAAAAATAGACAAACATGGTAATTGACCATACCTTCGCTACACCTCCCATTGGCTAATCAGTGAGATATGCAAATTAAGTGCCAACAAATATGGCGGCTGGAAGCCACGGAGCTGGAACGAGCAGGAGGCTTGCTTGCTCCAGTGATGGAGGAAGCCAAGGTTCCCAGCCTGCTGTGGCCTGCTCTAAGCTACACTCAAAGCAACAAAGTTTCAATTATAGAAGATAAATAAGCCCCAGATACCTGCTTTCAGCCGGCCGTGACCACGGAGCTGGAGCACAGGAGGCTTTCCCTCCCACCCGCCCTGGCCGGTTCTGAGCTACACTCAGGCAACAAAGTTTCAATTATAGAAGGTAAATAAATCCCAGAAAAAGAAAAAGAAAAAAAGGAGATGCTGGGAGCTTCTGTCACTGGGGAGGCTTGACCAGCCTGAAAACGGCCCTCAGCCCTTCACCCAGACTGGCCAGGCACCCCAGTGGGGCCCCCCCACCCTAAAGGTGGTGTGGCCAGCCTGAAAACAGCCATCAGCCCCTCACCCAGGCTGGCCAGGCACCCCAGTGGCACCCCAGTGGGGACTCCCACCCTGAAGGGCAAACCAGCCGGCCCCCACCCATGCACCAGGCCTCTATCCTATATAATAAAAGGGTAATATGCAAACTGACCTTGACAGCAGAAAGACTGGGAATGACTGGTCACTATGACACACACTGACCACCAGGGGGCAGACGCTCAATGCAGGAGCTGCTCCCTGGTGGTCAGTGCGCTCCCACAGGGGGAGCTCTCCTCAGCCACAAGCCAGGCTGATGGCTGCCAGTTCAGTGGTGGTGGTGGGAGCCTCTCCCGCCTCCTCAGCAGCACTAAGGATGTCAGACTGCAGCTTAGGTCTGCTCTCCACTGGCAAGTGGACATCCCCCAAGGGCTCCCAGGCTGCCAGAGGGATGTCTGACTGCCAGCTTAGGCCCAATCCCCTGGGGAGCGGGCCTAAACCAGCAGGTGGTCATCCCCCGAGGGGTCCCAGACTGCGAGAGGGCATAGGCCGGGCTGAGGGACACCCACCCCCCTCCACCCCTGTGCACAAATTTTTGTGCACCGGGCCTCTAGTACAGAAATAAAAAGGAATGAGCTATTGATATAAGTAACAATACACATGAGTCTCAAAATAATTATGCTGAGTGCAAGTCAGACTCCCCAAAAATGTACCTGTTGCATTATCCTAATTGTATA